TGTGAGTTCCCATAAAGGCTCCCAATCAAACCGTCCCGAGCTGGGCAAGAGACGTGTCTTGCTTGAGTGTGACTTTCCTCGGCCCTTGGGTTTCAAGAAGGAAAGTGCCTTAGAATTCAGCCGCTGTGTTCTAAAATGATTTCTTGCCACGCGAAACCAAAAGGAAGCAACCACCATTTTGAGGGTCCGATTCCCCCCCAAAAGAAAACGAAACGCCCATATTTGCATTCAAACATCACCGGCTGGGTGGGGCCCGGTGCCTGGTGTGGTGCCCTGTTTGCCGCGAGGAACGTGGACGGGCTGCACCAAAGGGCGGGGTCCTGGCGCGTGGTGGAGCTCCATGGCTGCAACGGCCGGGTGGGGTGCCTCCGCTGCGGCCGCGCACGGCCCCGCGCCAGCTACCAGCAGGCAGGGGGGGACGGAGGGGGGAGAGGGGGGGGTCGTTGGGAGGCGCGGGGTGGGGGTGGGTTGGGGGGAGGTTGGGGTGAAGCCAGGGTGGGAGAAATACGGTGGATGGAGGAAATCCATTTCGCACCACTGAAGAAACCCTGGTTTCTGATGATTCCCCCTGTAACTGCCAATAAACAATGTTTTCAAGCATGTCTTCAAAGCGGTGCAGGATTTCGTCCATCCACAGTATGTAGGGCGCCACAAAAGGAACGGGGCGAAATGTTTCCTCACCAAAATGGCTGTAGTTGACGGTTTTGCGCAGAGTTTCATGAATAGGAATCTTTAGATTGGTTGGCAGTACCTCCCTTTCAAGAGGTTGATGACCCATTTGATCACACCTGTGATCAGAGTCGGAACCCCAGAACCGGAAGAAACAACGGGGAACAACACAAGCCCGCCCTAAATTGAGGCCCATACATTCTTGACGAAGGCATGTCGATATGACCCATACCTCCAACGGCATACCAGAAAATCCGTTGACGGGTTGGGAGGAACCGAAAAAATTGTAGCAGTCATCTCCGCTGAGAACGGAAACGGAAGGACCGATTTGGAGGGCCCTTGGACTCACACCAAAGGAACTACAGAGCCCTCAGGTTGCAGTTCACGAGGCGCTTGAGCATCAATTTCAACAGCCAAGTCAAATTGCCGTGCACAAGGGGGTTCGAATTGCCACCCCCAAACAATAGCCAACAAGGGTTCCCCCAAAGGCAAGCCAAAAACGGGTCTTCCACAAAGGGGACCCAGTTTTTCGAGTTCCACCTCCATTTTACCTTCATGTGTCCAAGAAACAGGTTTGCGGTAGGAACAAGAGGGTCCCGAAAGCCCCAAAAACAAAAGGCGCCTCGCGCCGGCTGCCGGGGTTATCTATTTTCAGCCAGGAGCTGGAGCTGGTGAACGCGGCCTGGATGGAGCGCTTTCTTCCTCCCCAAGACCTGCTGGATGTCCGGGCCGACGGGGACGCGCACGTGCGCCTGTGCCGAAGTAGGGCTCCCATGGGTTTCTGTGAAACCCCCGAAAGGGCGCACCGACAGAGAACTTTTTTACAGGGAGGCTTCTCTCACTCCCTGAGTTCCTGGACTTTTAAGATTTTCAACTGTTTAGAAAGCCCATTTGAGTGGTGAACTTTTTCACTGATCAAATGTTGGTATTGAACGAGGGTTTGATACATGCTACAACCGCTGATGGAATCTTGTCCAATCAAGTCCACCCATCACCCAGCCTCCGGGGGTGGTCGTTGACTTGACGAGTTTGGGCATTTCCATTGGCCGTTTTCAGACAGATGTCCAAGACGTGGGTCAAGAATAGGTTGCCCGAGCTCTGGTAAATAGAAACAAGGAGCAAAACCAGCGTTTTTTCTCGTGGTTTACAATTTTGACGCATTACCATTTTACCATTCAAGTCACACAAGTGGTTGGCCAAAGGGAAAGAACCCCAGCTCGTCGAAACAAGGAAATGAGTTGGAATCACCATCCAATTGGTGGTTTCGGAAGCAGTCCAAGCAAAAAACCATCCAACGGGTGGGTTTCCTTTAGCGAGGAATCCCCCAAACCCAACAGGTGGTTTCTTTTTTTTGGAATCCCCAAGCCGGTTCAACCCCCAACGCCCGGACCCGGAAATTCCCTTCCCCACCTCTCGGTGGCGAGCGAATCGAACCTAAGGCGCGTGGAGGACTTCTCAGGTTTCCAGGTGCCGAGCTGCCGCTGCGGAGGCATCTGGAAGCCCCAGGCGGTCGGCGGTCGGGTTTCGGTGGGCGGTGGGCGGTCGGGTTTCGTCGGGCGTTTGGTTGGACTCCGGTGCTTTTTTTGGGTCAAAACCGTTTTAGGATCCCATTTTGGGGTAGGTGAATTCACCGCCCATTTTAGGCTTTAGTGGGGATTGGGATGTTCGCTGGGGTACGATTTGGATTTTGACCCATGGCCACTAGATTCCGGTGGTTTTGGGTTTTGTGGTTTTGGTTCAGACAAGTGGTTAACCCAAGTGGGTTTGTTGTGTTGGGCGGTTTGGCGTGTTCCGGTCAACTCCACTCTTTAGGTTGGCCCCGTCTTTTTTTGTGTGGTTGCGTCACGCTCCGCGTCGGATTCTTTCGAGGTGTGCCGCCTGGCCCTCAATCAACAGATTCTTTCGGTCAAAGAACCGGAACCCATTGCAATGGCCCAAGTTCCTGTCAGAGTCAACCACCACCAAAAGAATGGCCTGTTTCCCGAAGGTTTATTTTTTGTTGGTTTCCCCCTTAAACCGAGGTGGACAGAGTACCCTCTCTCATATCTTGCGAGTGCTTCCGAATTTTGGTGTTGGCACCGACAATGTTAGATGGAACTTTGTTTGGGGTTGGCTTTTTGCCCGAAACCAGAAGTACCCCAAGCATCTTTGTGGGGGTCAGTCTATCCTGGAAGCACAGACCAATGGCAGCGTGCCGAAGGGCCCATTGTAGGTTCAGATGCTTTCTCCAGGACATGGACAGGTTTGGGGCTGTGTGCTCCTGTTCGCCCCGTTGTCCACTTCCAGTTGTCTTCACCTGGAAGTGACATTCTCGCCCAAAGTGCCTGTCCGAAGGTTCAGTGGATGGACAAGATCCATTTCGCAGCACCGTTCAGAGACCCTGGTTTCGGATGATTCTTGTGTAAATACCAAGAAACCTTATGGTTTCAACCACGGTTTCATTTCGTGGTGCGAAATGGATTTCGTCCATCCACCGTATGAACCATCCCTTGTGGTTTCCTTTATATAAGGGGACCCTCCTTCCCTGAGCACCAGCAAGTGTTTGGCAACCATCCACAGAGTGAGCCACCGCGGCCGTCGACTTGCCGTCCCGCCAGCATGTGCTTCAGGTGGTGTTCTTCGGCGGCGCCTTGGAGGCGCGGCATTGGACGGAGCGGCCAACTGGCTTTTGCGTGGGTAGGTGGAAAAAGCGGCGCATTTGGCCAGGTCCTGGTATAAATTCCCATGTCCTTGCCAGGTCCTGGTATAAATTCCCATGTCCTTGAGGACAATAATTCTATTGGGAATCTAGCACTGCTCGACGTATGTTTATTTTTGCCCAGCGGACTTCAGCATATGGAAGACAATCGTTTCATCGAAGTATACCGCTATTATACAAGGACCTTTCCAGAAGCTCAGTTTATTTCGCCGGAGGGTGATACAGTACTTACGAGCAAGCTGATCAAATCCGTTTATGCCCCTTGTAGCTGCGAGACTTGTTGGCTCCCAGGTGTACACGCTTCAATCCTTTCATTTCAGCACTTCAATGAGCCTTCCATTTGGGTGGAAGGAGCAAGCTTTGGAGGCTGTCAGAACATGTGGAAGCCAATGGATCCCTGGCTTTGTGTTAAGGAAGAGGACTCCAAGCCATATGTCGAGGCAACTGACATCCGAGGGATCCACTGGAAATCATTCAGCTGCGGGGTTTCTTGCCGATTTTTCCCCGCACATTTGCAAAGAACCTCCTCCAAATCTGTGGACGAGCGGTATGAACTGTGATCCTGGGCAAGTTCAAAAGCCGGCCCCCGATCCCTTCCAGCGAAGTGCATATCTGAGCAGGGAACCCCATCTGGCCGGTGTTCTCTTCGGTTTCCCCAAAACACTCCCAAAAAAAAATGGGGCCCCCAGACCTTCTGCGGGTTGCACTGGGTGTATATTTTAGTAAGACCCATCTACCCTCCGGAGAACCTCTCACCATGAAGGCAAGGGGGTTCCCCAGCCTCAAAAACGACGCTCCGCGCAACGTTCCGCCACTTTGCGCTGCCAGGCCGACACGAAGCAGAGGGCCCAGGCCTTGGTGGACAGCTGCGAGAAGCTGCTGGTCATGGGGAGCTCGGTGAAGGCGACACGGGTGGTTTCCCAAGCCTTGGTGGTTCACCCTGCTTTGTCTCGACACCGGGGTCTGTACTCGTACAGGAAACCTCGAGGATGTTGAGACAGAGGGCCAAGGGATTATTTTGCCGTTGTGGGCCCAAGCCCGGGATATGTCCCCACCTTCGCGCCGGGCCGCGCCTTCAACGGATTTTCTCCAATAACTCCATTGCCAGGCTTGGTGATCTGTTGGTTCAGCCAAATTTTCACAGGGTGGGGAAAACTTGCCATTCAATAATCACATGATCAGACACTTTTTTTGTAGCGGGCTCATGCTTCCAAGCTATCCGAATATCCTTTCGGTTTGATTCTTCTGTGGGCTTTTGATAGATGTGTCAGGGACTTGAGCCCCTCTTTTGACACGTTTCTCGAAAGGCTGTCAATCAGAACCTTTTGCAGTGGACGCTGCACAAGCCAGGGAAACTGGCGCATGAAGAAACCACCCAAGTAAACAACCACCCAATTAACAAGCCAGACAGCCAAAAAGAATCCAAGCAACACGCCACCCAGCGAACCAACAAACCAACAAAACACACAAGCCACAAACCACCCAAGCAAACAAACCACAAACCACCGAAGCAACAGGCCAGTCAACGAATCAACAAACAAGCCGATTAGAAACAAGCCACAAACCACCAAAGCCTACACACCAACACTCCATCCAAGCAACCAACCACCCAACAAACCAACTGATGACATCAACACACGTCAACACAACCAAACCAACAAACCACCCAAACAACCAAACCAACTAACACACCACCACACCAACTTACCTCCCGAGCAACAAATCACCCAGCCAACAAACGAACCACCCAAGCAACAAGCCACCCAACAAGCCAACAAAAAAACCGACAAGTCAATTAGCAACACACCTCCCAAGCAAACAGTTTCCCAACAAATAAACAAATCAACCAGCAAACCAACAACCAACCGAAGCAACAGAGCACCCAACAAAACCAACAAACAAACCAACAAATCAATTGGCAACACAGCACCACCCCAAGCAACAAATCACCCAACAAATAAACAAACAAAGAAACCAACCAACAAAGAAACAAACCAACAAACCAACAAACCAACAAACCAACAAACCAACAAACCACCCAAGCAACAAACCAACAAACGAACCAACAAAGCAACAAACCAAAAAACCATTCAAGCAACAAACCACCCAACAAACCAAGCAAACCAAGAAAGCAGCAAACAGACTTGAAACCCTTTGCTGGCCGCCAATCAGGTCTTCAGCGCCTTCTCGCTGGTTCGCTCCGCGGTGGCCAAAAAGAAGCCGGTGGCCGTGGTGAACATCGGGGAGACCCGGGCGGACGGCTGCTGGATTGATATGAATGTTGAAGAGGGGCATGGTTGTGGAAAACTTGGCATTGGGTCCAATTTCAAAAGGTACCAAGGAAACCCGTATGGGAATGACCAATAGTATGACAGAAAGGTATTGCCTGTAGGATGAGGCCTTGGGCAGTTTCTTGCGCGCTCTTTTTCGCAAGAATGACCGCCCAATTGGCCCGGAAGGCATTGGGCTTAAAAAGAGAGCCCCGCGAAAGCAAGGACAGAGAAGGGCCATCCGAGGCCCGAGAGCACGAGGCCGGGAGCCTGATCAGGAGCACCCCGTTTCTTTTGCAGCAAGCGGCCCAAGCGGCGATTACGCGGGTCCGCAGGTTTCTGAAGAGAGACAACCGCGAGGGTTATTCACCCTCAAAAACCATGTTTAGTGAGTTTCCTTGGGTTGGGCTCAGGGAGGCGTGCCCTCAACAAAAGACACACCCATTTGAAGGGGGTTCTCAAACTGGTCCCCTTTGTGGTTGGCAATTGAAGCGAAACCAAAGGAGCCATTGTAGGGAACCCCCTATTTTGCGAAACACCATAATTTTGACAACCCCAACCCCACCTCACGGCCACAAAAAGCGTCCCCATTGGCCCCCAAAGAAGCTCAACCAAACCTGGCCCATTTGTTGCGACAACAACGAAAATATGTTCGACCTTCACACGCACCTTAACCGATGATTAAAACCGGAAGAAGGGAATGTGCGAAGACACCACCCAAAGGAGTGTAGTTTCCGAGTAAAAATGCTACTTTTGGAGGTCCAAGAAAACGGGGAACTTGAGGGATTGTTTGGTGGTTGAAAACAGGGGAACCAAAAGGAAAGCCAGAAATCTTCATGGCCCTTCAACACAACATGACTCCAATAGCTAGGGTCCAGCAAGGGTCGCCCTGTTGGACCCAAGGCTTGGTGGACGCGCAGAATGGCCTGCGACTGGCGCTGAGGTGTGGCCAGGCCTTGCAAGAGGTGTGCTGGAGGCTCCAGGTGGCGTGAAAAAGCGACCCGTTCGGCGGGGTGGTCTGAGGCGGCCCTCCCAACCACCAACCATTTTTTTGGCAAGGGACACCAACAGGAAAACCGAACAGAACCGACCACCTACCAAGGACCGAACCTACCAACCAGGTGGCCCCAAATTTGGTATCCAAATGGGCACCTTGGTAAAAACCGAACAGAACCGGCCACCTACCAAGGACCGAACCTACCAACCAGGTGGCCCCAAATTTGGTATCCAAATGGGCACCTTGGTAAAAACCGAACAGAACCGGCCACCTACCAAGGGACCGAACCACACCCACCAGGGCCTGGTTTTTTGACGTGGGTGGCTCGTCTCTTTTTGGATGGGGCACTTGTTTTGGCAAGGGCAACTAACAGGAAAAGCGTTGCTTGCCATTTTGCGGCAGGTACCCTTTTCAGGGTTGGTTGTTCCGGAAACCCACAGGAAACCATATATTTTAGAGGGGTTCCCTCAAAAATTGTTTGTAGACACAAACACGCACACACACACACACACCAAGCAAAAACAGTACTAGTTTGGATTGGGGATGGTGATGAGGCCTTTTCCCTTCCAAACATGGATGTTGTCACAAGGCCCCCCTTCCAAGAAGATCCGTGCAGCAAACCATTGGCGGGAGGGTGCCTTGGAAGAATGTCTGGGCCCCCAAAGTGGCAAAGGGAGGTACGCGAAACTTGCCATAGGAAGGGTGCCAAGAGGACCAGCCTGCAATTGTCTCGGAGCCGGCTCCAAGCAGCCGCGGCAAGATGCCGCCGTCACCTGCGCAGCGGGCAGTCAATCGACAGCTCGAAAAAAAAAGAAAAAAGTGAAAACAGGATGGTCCAAGTGTTCCCTTCTTTTTGTCGCGTCTCTTTTAGCTTTGCCTTTGGATGAACTGGCTGTGCCAGATCACACCTTCGAAGCAAGATGTTGCCTGAGGCTCCGCCTCTTTCTTCAGAGCCCCATGTTGATCTGTTTCGTGAAGTGGCAGATTTTTCCGGATGTCTCCAGATCTTGGCTTAGCTTAGCGTTCTGGGGCGCGTCTCTAAGTGGGGGGATGGATTTCGCCTGCCAGGCAGCGGAGCCCTTGTACCGGCGCCTGAACAATGCCCTGGAGTCACCTGAACCCCAGGCGGGGTCCGTAGAAATCGGGGCGCGCCCTCTCAGCTTCTTCGGTTTGGAGGCTCCCAGTGTTTTGGAGCAGCACAATCAAAATGACAGGAAGCACACGAGAAAGCAAACCCAAGCTGCGAGTAGCCTGAGTTGTGAGGAGGTCCAAGTCTGGCGCCGCGCAGCTTCGTTGTCACGTGATGCCACCCCAAATCTCGAATGGAAGCTCCAGGCCCCAAGCTCATCTGGGCAGCTTCTGGGACATCATGGTTGCCCTCTAACTAGATTTCCATGGTTGAAGGCGCGGATTCCTCGCACGTTGCAAGTTGCAATCACCTCCAGAAGTTTTGGGCAAAGTTGGCATCCACCCTTCCGATTCTTTGCCAAAAAGCGCGCTCCCTGGCACGCCACTCCTCTTCGCGACGCGACTTGAGCCGAAGAGGTCATCGTCTTCTATTTGAAGGCAGTGAAGCAGCTCCGCAGCAAGGTGACGCAGGTGGGCGACGCCCCTCGGTTTGCAGGCGTTTTTTTTCTCTTCTTCGCGTAGCTGTGGGCAATGGTTGAGCCAAATGATGGTTTGCGAAAGGGATGGCTGGTTGGACTAGCATGAATTCAACAGTCAGATGGGTGATGTTGGCGACCGACCCCCGCATGAGAAAGCAGAGCACCAAAGCCGCAATATGAGAATTGGAGCTGGATTTTCGGGAGTTGTGTTTTGATTTGATTTTACTGTCACGCTAGACTTGGCTGGGTTGTTATACAAATTCCGCAAAACGCACCGGCTCGGGTGGATGAAGCCCGATTTGAAAACTGGTTGACACACAATTACAGTGTCTCTGGTCGACATTGCCATGGAACCCTCCAAAACAGGACCCCTTTGAGGTTCCATGTGCCACACCAAATGGGTGACTCAAAGGGAGAAGGGAGAGGAAGGGAAGGGAGCCCAAACTAGCTCTTATTAAGCCCTTCATAAGCCTCCCCTCTCTCCTCCCCAGTCCCCATCCCCCAAAGCAACTTTGAGAACTCGAATTGGTGGTTTTGATCAGAAATCGGTGGTTTGGTGGTGTGGAGGTTGGGTGGGAAACCCCATTTACCCTCCACAAGAACCCGACAGGACACGGGTGGACCCACATCAGGCTGGCACGCCATGATCCTTGCACGTGAAGTAGCTGGCTTGTTTGCCGCTGCCTTGGACCAGACTCACCCTCACCCAGATCCCCAGTGCTCGCCTTGGGCCACACGAGTCGCCCTCTAGGCCTCTGCGCCCTTTTTCGGACCTCTAGGATCTATAGGCTCCCACGTGCTCTGGAAGCCTGAAGCTAGGCGTGCATCATTCCTCTGGCCGTGGGTAGCGACATCGTGCCTCTGCTCTTGGAGCGGAAGGCGAAACCAGGCGCCGCCGGCCGCGTGCTGGGACCCAGACCCCGGAAACTTTGGGGGCCGTTTTGGGGTGCTCGGATCCGCGAGTTTTGGGCAACCGGGAAAGACACTGCCCTTAGGTGTTTAGCTTTTTTGGGGTTTAGTGGGGGTTTCCGTTTCATTTAACCCCACTAAAAGTTAAATTTTTAGCAGGGGATCTGAGGACAGCCCAGAAATTCATGCAGGGAGCAAGTAAAGGACATTGTTTTTGCCGCGTGTCGTGGAGCAAGCACTTTGGAATGCATGTCAGTGGGGATGGCGGGTGGGTGCGGGGGCTAGCATTGCTTGGGTTTGAGCTAGGAGTGGTGTGGACATGTGCAAGTAGCATGGATGTTTATCGCGCAAGCACGAACTCAACAAGAAAAGACAGAGGCCTTTGCCAACTTATTATGTACACAATCGGGTCGTCACCTTCGGTCAGGTTTAAAGGGGGCCCGTTTACGTTGGTTGCCAATGTGATTCGTTGGCACTGAGACTTAGATGGTTGCACCTCAGCAAGTCAAAAGGTCAAACCATATTTCCCTTGCGTTCGTGGTGTAGTGGTGGGATGGGGAAACCAGCAAATACTCCCTGGTTCGCCCTGGCGAGCTGCGGTTCTTCTCTGACTCTCCTGCACAACGTATGGAAATCACACCAGTTGACACAGCAAGGGAGCCCTTTGTTTGATCAGCAAGCGGTCCAAGATCCATTGAATCCATGCCGAAGAGGCTGTCTTGGCCACTCATTGGCGGTTTCTGTTGGCGCTGCCGAGCAGTTGTTCGGCTGCACGGGCGGAGCAACAGCCTGCCAGGAAGCGACACGGGCGAGCATTGCTACCGCCTCACGATCCTCATCTTGGATGGGCATTCCTCAGCATGTTTTCCTCGCGCTGTAAAAACATGGTGAAAGCTTTTAACGCTCAGGGTCAAAACATCTGAGTTCACCCAAGCGTTCATGGCCCCAACTTGCTTTCAGATGCGCGCGGCCTCTCAGGATCGTGAACGCCGGGGATGGGTCGCTCTACCACCGCCAGTCCGCACGCTGCCCGCCCAAGCTGAAGTACCAGATGCCCGGCTACCAAAGGGTCGATTGGCTTCTGTTTCCTTGAGGGCAAGCTTTGCTTTTATGGTTTGGGTCGAACCTTGGTTTCCTTTGGTGCCTCTCGGGCAAGGCTTCCACCCAAGGTCTAACCGGCCAATCTCTCCAGTTCTATGAAGCAGATCAGGAGCCGAAGGTCCAATCAGCCTGTTGGCCCACTAGCCCAAACTACCAAGTGGTTGAGCTCAAGCTCCTGGGTGTCACAGGGCATGAGCCCTGCTTGTTCCCACCTATAGATGCGATTGCACGTGGGGAAGCCCTCGTGATGGATTGAGGACGTGTCTGGTCTTCGAGGGCATCCCCTGCGAACGCGCGGAGGATGAGGCCTTTTGGACCACCATGGCGGCTTGGTTAGTCCTGGGGAGGGGTTGGGGTGGGTGGGCTGGGTGAGTTTGGTGTGTTGCAACAGCTTTTTACGTCCCCCCTTCCTGTGCGTGAAACATTCCCTGGTTCTTCTTCTTCTTCTTCTCATGACGGTTCCACGTACGGATCTAGAGAATCCCGTGGCAGCGATGTTGTTCATGCTGCACCCTGCGCACCACACTAGGATGGGACTGGCCCTTCAAGGGCGCACCCCCTTCACAACTGGGGCTGCCGTCCCAGGCACTGAGCAGAAACAAAGCACAACAGCGCAGGAAAACCCCAAAGCCCCCAAAACACACACTCAACGTGTGTGAGTCCCTGTCCTTCTACGGTTTCAGACTGCGACGCATGCCTTCCAGAAGCTCAGCAACCTTTCCCTCACGAGGCCCGCGCGGGGCAATGCCGTGCTTCTGCTCAGCACCGGGTGTTTTCATTTGCCTTTTCGAGGATTTGGGCAAGCATTTCTGTGTCAGAGCCCTTGAGCTGCACCCGGACGACTTGTTGCAAGCCGGGCGCATGGAACCCCCAAGCTGATGGGATCGGTGTGGGCCACTATCTCTGCCTTGTCGGACTTCTTGAAGGCTCGCCCACACGGGGCATTGCGTCAATTACAGCATACAACTCTGCAATCTCTTCCGCGTTTGCCAAACGTGGCAGGCGCCACCATGCCTCGAGGGTCGCAAGCCTACCTGTGCGCAGTCACGCAATGCCACGGTTGCTCTCTTGAAGTCACTGGACGCAATTCCCATAAATCCTGCAGAGTTCTGCCTCCTGCTTGTTTGGTAGCATTCCTGGTTGATGGCACACACAGAGATGGGTGAGACCCTTTCAGATACCAACGGGAGACACAAAACAACCACTTTCGGGTCCGCTACTGGGGGACATTCCTAGATGTATATATTTTTCAGGTTGCCAAAATTAGGTTGTGGACCCTTGTCGGCGCTGTCTTGGGTGCCATTTTGGGGATCTGCCTTTGAACAGGCGCTGCCATGGACAACCTCACCCGTACAGGCTGACGCACACCGTTTTGATGGTCGGCGACGCGCCTGACATTTCCACTGGGAATTGTGTGGTGAGCTTGGGATGGAGCCGACCACCCTCGCGAAAACATGGACTCACTTCAAGTTGTTGACCAGCTGCACGGAGGATGGGAATTGAGTTCCGAACCAAAAACACTTCAGACCCAAAGTGGCGACGCTTGCCTCGGTCAGCAATCCGGCGCTTTCCGAGTGGTTGCCCCCGACCCTCGCGGTCAGCGGGGCCATCAACGGATCGCTTCTAGACCTCGCCTTAGGTCACGGCCTGCTTGATCTCCTCGGAGCGGGAGCCCGAGGAGCTGTTCTACGACACCTTTTTGCCCTATCTCATCAACGCCCCGGCCGTGGTGGACGTGCTGCACCCTCCTGAGGCCTCGGCATACCTGTCGTACTTGTTTCCCGGGCATGGGAGGGGCGTGTCATTTTTGAGGGTTGGGTGCTGCGAGGGGATTCTGGATGTGACTAGGGAAAGGGGTTTGCGGGTGTTGGGGGTAGCTGTATACTGATGACCAATGGTAGTAGCGTTGGAAAGCACTTTTCGCTGACAAAAGGGAGATCCCCTACCCTCCAACCACGGTGGACAGGAAGGTTCCCTCTGTTTCCGGATTCCAACCACGAAAAGTCAGCTTCTAGGTTCCTAATTGTGGCTGGGAGGGCTTTCAAGCCTGCCAAATCGTGACAAAATATTGCACCAGTTGGGATGGATGAAACCCTGTACTGTAGATGCTGAGATAAGCCACCAATTGGGGAAACACCGCTCCAAGCGCGCTTTGCTTTGTGGGTGTTTATCAAAAATAGGGCGCCCCCCCCAAAGGCATGTTTCCTTTGGTCTGGTTTCATGTCAAATCAACCCGAAAAACGGGCACCAACGGAAAAACATGTACACACACACACACCCACAGAAGGGCAGGTTCCTTTGGAATTCTCCTAGCATCCAAAAACGATTGACCCTCCATCCACCTGTCTGGGGAACAGCCGCAAAAAACCGACGAGGTTTTATGATCTGCGCTGTGGATGGACGAAATCCTGCACCGCCTAAGCCCTGGAATGATTCCCTTGTAAATACCAAGGGACAATGGGTTCAACCATGGTTCCAAAATGGTGCTGCGAACGAGTTCCGCTTTCGCAGTACCCTCGGCGCGAGCGAACCGCGAAACGCGCGCGCCAGGGCAAGGAGAAGACCTCTTTGAGCGCTCCGGACACGGACTTTCACTCCAAGCCCCGGTGCTTCGGGGCCTGGCGCTCCCTCACGCTGCTCTGGAAGCACCTGCTGAGGAGGGAGCGCGCCGGCTCCGATTCGATTCGTTGGAAAACGTGTAGGCTGGTTCGAGAAAGCATCAAGTGGGTTCGTTGTTATTTGCTTGTTGGCGGTTGGCTTAGTTTTTGTGTTTTTGTGTTTTTGTGTTTGTTTGTTTGCTTGTTTGCTTGTTTGCTGTTTTGTTTGTTTTATTTGTTTTGTTTTGTTTTGTTTTGTTTTGTTTGTTTGTTTGTTTGTTTGTTTGTTTGTTTTAAAGATGATATAGGTCTTGTTCGAAAGGCATACACGAATCCTTACGGCCGGCTTTGAAGTACATTTCTTCGGGTGGCTGGACATTGGCGAACCTGGATTTCTTACTGGCCCTTGGGTTGCCGATCTGTGGCCTTCTGAAGGCTTCTCAAAGTGGAGCATCGGAGGGTTTGGGATCTAAAGAACCCCCTCTTCCACTGGAAAAAGGGTAAATCTTGGCCAAAAGGCTTCAACCGGTAGACACCGACTTCGACTCATTTTCTGCATGCCGCTGGCGGGAAAACCACATCTGGTCCCACTGTTCAAACCCAGGCCCACCGAAGCCGGACCGAAATCACGGCACCACGGAGTTTGACGTAACTCTTCAAGCTGCTTTTGGCACACCGCTGTGTCTCAGAATATTTGGAAGCCCTGAGATCGGCGGGTTTTTAGCCTTCGGGTTTCCCTTCAAACCAATCCCCAACTACCGCGCAAACGCCGGGGGGGGGGGGGGGGGTTCCAAGCTTTGGCAGGTTTGACACTTGACACCCCAGGGCCGGTTTCCGGCTCGGCTCGGACTCCGCTCGCGCGGAAGCGGAATCGCGGCGCGGAGTCGGCTCGCGGGAGGACGCGGGCGGAGATGACGAAGCAGCAGGTGAAGGCGCTGAAGTGGGAGCTGCGGTCCACCTTGGCGCAGATGTGCCTCCATGACCTGAAGGCTGGGAATTGATCTGGGGCGGGAAGGACGGGGGTGTTGGGGGTTATGGCTGCGTTTCAGTTTTGGGGGGGGGGGGGGTGTGCGGTTGTTGGGGAGCAGGTTGGGGGAAGTTGGGGAAGTTGGGCAGGTTGGAAGGTTGGGAGGGGGGAGGTTGGGGGAGGTTGGGGGAGGTGGGAGGTTGGCGGTGTCCCCAGTAGTATGCTTTTCAGATAAAACTACTTTTTTTTAATTGAAGAATCTTTGGTACCTTAAAATAATGAAAACACACATTGCCAGGAACACTTTTGTTTTTTTCCCAAACACATCCTTTGATGGGGGAGGTGGGGGGGGGCGGGAGGGGTCGCGAGCTTCCATTTCTCTGTTTTGACACAGGGGAACGCCTGAAGAAGGTCCTTTTCCGTTAGCTTTCCCTTTAAGGCAACCCGACCAACTCAAACAAACAACGACCAATAAGGACATGTGTCCTTGGAGGGTGCACAGCGAATCTCCAAGTGCTTGCGACCGCCCGAAAGAGAACGCAGAAGTGTTGCGTAGGTTGGGGCTGGGAAAGGACACTTGAAGAAGTTGGAACCTTTGTGGGGACAGAACATGCGGTGGATGTTTGACCAATTCTGTGCCGAAGACGGACTTGGCGCCTCGGTTGCTGCTTGTGTTCTGCACGTTTTCTCGGGTGAGGAGATGCAGGGGGCCCAGGCATGTAACCCGGTGACGGGAGCAGAACAGGTTTGGCCGTGAGAGGTGCAGGACAAATGGTGCTAAACCCTCAAGCTGCATTCTGCGCCACGCATGAATACAGACCCATGTGGCCTAGCAAGCATTCATGACTAGGAACCATGTAATCATGTGAATTTGTATATCTATGTATGTTTATACACATAAATATGATGCTCTCATTTGTATATCCATGACCATCCATAGCCATCCAATTCGTTTAGACTAAGTGTGCCCTTGACCCTTGCCCTTCAAGTTTGCCTTTGGCCAAGCCCAACCTCCTCTCTTGAAAACCACTCCTCCTTCCCGGTCCTCCCCGCGCCCTCGCCTTTTTCGGGCATCTGGGAGGCCTCCAAGGGCCTGGACAGCACGGACCTGCGCCTGCTGAAGATCGGCTGCGGCACTTTGTCCTTCGCCGCGGTGAGGAACCACACCGCCGCCACCGACGTGAGGCTGGCAAGCGGGGGGTGGCGGGGTTTGGGGGGTTTGGGGGCCTTGGGGGCGGCCCCTCTCGAACCGGGCCTTGTTGTGTGTTGTGCGGGTAAACTGTGCTTGAGGTTTGCGTTTGGGGTTTGCAATTGCATTCGGAGATTGTTTGGCAGAATGTTCTGCTTTGGCTGAGGAGCCGATGGAAGCACGTCATGCTGGGACACTGCAGTCCCCAACATTTTGCAGCATTGGCTCTAAGACATGGCATCTTCCAGGAACACGTGTGCCCAGGCTTCTTTTGGAATGGCCACGGATTCAACGGGGGATGGGCTTGAGCAAGTGAATAAACATTGTTGATGCAGTTTGACTGACCTTGCTTCACGTGACGGCGCAAATTGTTGCCAAAATTCTGCAGTGCCAACACAAGGAGGTTTCTTGGCCTGATGCTTGATAGATCTGCCACCTATTTAACAAACTCAACTACCGAGAGCCTCGCTCTTTGTGCCACAACAGCGCCGTTTCTCTTTGCAAAGCATACCTGTCGTGAGTCCAGCACGCGCAATCTTTGTGGACACGTATGCAGCCTCAGCGTTTAGTCTTTGACCGCCACGCTCAGGCAACCTTGCGTCCACGCGATAGCTTGGACGCAAGTTAGCTTCTGCCCCTTCACTTCTTGACCTGTCCAAAATGGCTGTGGCTCAAAGAACAGGTGCCCAAAATGGAACCCTGGTAAGTGGAAACATGGACCCGGGGCCGCGTGTGGCTTTCCGAAGCACAGACTCCGGCAGTTGTGCTGTAGGGCGGGCGAGGGCTTTAGCGAGATTCGCCACGCGCCCGCTATGAGACCAATGAGTGGCCCGTCTTTTTTTGAGGGCGCCATTTTTTGGTTCGTCGAGAACCACTATTTGTTGGGGTGCCTCAAGACGCGCCTTGCGTCAAAGCAACATTTGGCGAACACGAGTCTCAAGACGTTTTCGGAAAGCAGACTTTGATCCTTTTGACTTGAACCGCAGGCGCTCAGCCTTTGCTTGGCGCTCATGGGAAAGTGGGCGCCACATGTCTGTGATACCAAATGCGAAGGCTAAAGGTTTCTGTGATTGCAACTGCAAAGGCGATTGCAACTGCAAAGGCGAGTCGAGAGCGCGCAACCCCTGCGGACACGCGTGCACCACTGCTAGGAGCTTCCACGGTTAGCTTTTGACCGCCAAGCTCAGGCAACCCTGCGTCTATGATGCGATATCTTGGACGCAAGTTAGCTTCTGCCCCTTAACCTCTTTGAGGCCTCGAAAGCAGCAGGGCGCAAGCGTTTTGCATGTTTGTCGCGGAAACGTTTGTCGCGGAACTGTGGTTTGGCCGTGCACGGCCCACACACGGCAGATCCGTCGCAGATGGGCGATCGCTCAAGCGAGATGTGCAACGCGCCCGCTCTGAGACTGAGGATGGATGGCTCTGCGTTTCGTGAGTGCCCTTTTCTGATTCGCTTGAAAGGGAAACCAAAAGGAAAACCACATTTTTGGGGTCGTCGATTTCAAGCCGTGTGTCAAGGAACATTTTGCACATCCGAGTCCGAAGACGCTTTCGGAAAGCAGCCTGTTGACCCTTTTGACTTGAACCGCAGGCACCGTTAAAGTGGGGCACGCGACGGGCGCCGGGAGCCGCACGGCTCTGATATCAAATACGGAGGCTAAAGGTTTCTGTGATTGCAATTATTGGTTGTCTGTGATTCTCATTGGTATCACAGAAGTGATGTTCAACAACCTGGCGCGAAACTCAGCGTGGCACAGCGCTAGCTGCAGTTCCCGGCAGATTGCCAGGGGTGTTCGTTGGCAGGCGTTTTTGAGTCGCAAGTCCTTGCTTGCGCAACCAAGCGCGGGTCGCTGTTCCAAGATGGGCGTCAAGGATGCTCACAAGGTGCGGAGCCCGAAGATGGATATGAAAGCTTGTCACTGATGAGCGATCAGCGCTCGCTGATGCGACCGGATCAGATGCGGCAGGCTTCTCGCCTTAAAGCGAGCGTTGGCTTCTGCGAAGCTCACCATAGCTCAGCGGGCGCTGCCTCAGCAGGGGCTGCGTGGAATCGAAGTTACAGAAGAACCAAAGGCAAACTTGTAAGCTTGCGACCGGGCGCAAGTCCTCGCGCCGAGCATAGACAAATGCTGAGGGCAAACGCTCGTGCCTTGGTGCCCTGTCCGATGTGTGTGTGTGTGTGCTTGTCTCAAATGCCGTTTTGCCGAAGCTGGGGCAGAGCCTATGCCCAGATGAGCCGAAGCGATTGACAAGGCCTCGCGCTCAGCATCGCTCCGAACAAGCAGGGGCCGCCTGAGCACTTTTGTAGGGCTCGGAGTGCTTGCAGGGCTTGATGAAGTCTCGCGATGGAAGATGGGCAAATACTGCAGACGCGTGCCTGTTATTTTGGAGGCCCAAAAGTCCGAGGATGCGCGTCAAAGAGCCTGAGTTGCCTTCTACATTGCTTCGTGTTGAGTCAGTGATGCGATATTCCTCCAAGAAGCATTCCCGCAGCCCGCGCGCACAAGCACCGCAGAAGGTTTTCAAGCACTTGTCTCCTTGCCAGACCTAGATTGGGCCAAAGCCAAAAACTGCAACTTAGAGCCTGTTCCGACGAGTGTGTGCCTTTCTCCAAACTCCTGTGACAGCCAACGGCGCTTAACCAAGGGCAGCGTTCTAGCAGCTCGCGGAAGCTTTTTGCGCTTACAGAAGGCACTCTTGTGCGCATGCCACCAGGAAGTTTTCGCGGATCACGCAATGATGTCAAACGAAAATGGAGGTAATTTCCAACACCACTCGCATCTTTGCTTGAAACCAAAGTGGGCAGTGCCTGACACGCTTGGATGCTCCAAGTCCTTTGCTTGATGGCGAGTGCTGGGTGATGCATCGAGCTCATGGCCCCTTTCTTGCAAAGCCAAACCAACGTTTGGTGTGCTCCGCGGCTCTGCAGCTCCGAACCGACAGGGGGCCACAGGGGCCGGAGCGTAGTGCTTGCAGGGCTTGACATGCATCTTCTAAATCTGCTAGCTCTCAAGCGTGCTGTGGCATCCAAACGCAGAAGCACGACTTTTGTGAGCTGAGAAGAACCCCCCAGGGCTGCCTGATGTGTTCAGAAATTGGACTCACTGGGATTAACAAACTTGATGCGCAGCGACATAGTTCGAGCACCCAGCCGCAAAGTGAAGTTCTGTGTCAAGGGCGCGTCGCTCAGCTCAAGCTGTTCAGCGTGTTCCGTAAGTTGCAGAATGTTTCAGCTCGTCTCAGTCGGTCTCAGCTTTGTTTGCCCACCCGGCCGTGTCGGCAGCATTCCCCAAAGATCCAACATTTGCTGCGTATGTTGCAGCCCCTGAAAGCCTCTAACCCAGTAGTCTAACCCAGTCTTGCGCAAGTCAACCTCAGCTGGGATGCGCTCTGCTCTGGGAAGCGCGCTTTTTGGTTTGATGTGCAGCTCCTTAGACGCACTTTTGATTAGACGGCACCGCTATGAGTTTTATGACGAGAGTGAAATGCCGGGGTCCAGTCCATTTGTTTCAGAGCAGCCTTGAAGGAACCGTGCGGAGGGCGCTTGCCTGTATCTTCGCCCTCCACATTCAGGATCCTTCGCATTTCTGAGTCCAAAGATTTGTGCCAAGGCAACTGGTGGTGAATCGAAAGTAAACAGTGAATATAGACGTTTTCAGCTGGCTCCCAGACTTGCCTGGAAACAAAGGGGGAGCCATCCACTTTGGAGGGTCACCATTTGGAGACGCCCTTGCAGGCTGACCGATACGAATGTGCCTTGCACGAGCCAAGCGCCCAAGGCGCAGTATGTAACCAACTGTGTCCCAAGCACCTTCGCGTTCATCTTTGACAAGGCAAACCAGGAGAGGCATGTGTGCGCAGTGCGTTTCAGTAGGTCTCAGCCTTGTTTGCCTGCCGCGGCCGCGTCCATGGCAGCATTCCCCAAATGTCCAACATTTGGCAGCTGCAAAGCACGCCAGCGTTGCAATACTTGCTGCGTATGTTGCAGCCCTTGAACACCTCTAACCCGGCCGCGTATATTCAGCGTTTGAAGCCTGACTGCTACCCAGCCTTATCTGCCCAAAGACCCAGGCCCCGCTTGAAGACCCAGCTTTCTCCATTTCGCACGGATTGCTGCTTGAAGCTCCGATCAAGATGATCCAACAAGCGCTTGCCCAAAGATTCGGCTGTGGCTGCCAGAGAGTTTTTTTGTCGCTGAACATTTGAACGCGCTCCGAAGAAGCACCTACTTCCGACTCAGTTCCGAAGACGAGCGTCAAAAAAGCGGAGTTATTCACCCTCACAGCGGGGCACACGCACACACACACACACAGACACAGACTCTTCTAAACCTGCTAGCTCTCAAGCGTGCTGTGGCATCCAAACGCAGAAGCACGACTTTTGTGAGCTGAGAAGAACCCCCCAGGGCTGCCTGATGTGTTCAGAAATTGGACTCACTGGGATTAACAAACTTGATGCGCAGCGACATAGTTCGAGCACCCAGCCGCAAAGTGAAGTTCTGTGTCAAGGGCGCGTCGCTCAGCTCAAGCTGTTCAGCGTGTTCCGTAAGTTGCAGAATGTTTCAGCTCGTCTCAGTCGGTCTCAGCTTTGTTTGCCCACCCGGCCGTGTCGGCAGCATTCCCCAAAGATCCAACATTTGCTGCGTATGTTGCAGCCCCTGAAAGCCTCTAACCCAGTAGTCTAACCCAGTCTTGCGCAAGTCAACCTCAGCTGGGATGCGCTCTGCTCTGGGAAGCGCGCTTTTTGGTTTGATGTGCAGCTCCTTAGACGCACTTTTGATTAGACGGCACCGCTATGAGTTTTATGACGAGAGTGAAATGCCGGGGTCCAGTCCATTTGTTTCAGAGCAGCCTTGAAGGAACCGTGCGGAGGGCGCTTGCCTGTATCTTCGCCCTCCACATTCAGGATCCTTCGCATTTCTGAGTCCAAAGATTTGTGCCAAGGCAACTTGTGGTGAATCGAAAGTAAACAGTGAATATAGACGTTTTCAGCTGGC